TGCCCAGCCCTGCAGGTGTCCCAGGAAGGGCTGGAGGTGGCACTCAGTGCTCTGGGCTGGGCACAAGGTGGGCACTGGGCACAGCTGGGACTCCATGGGCTGGCAGGGATTTTCCAGCCTCAGGGACCCTGGGATTCTGTGTTTCTGTGATTGTATGACAGCTGGTATGGACTGCCCTTGCTTCCATAACCATGAGATAACTTTGGCATGGCTGCAGCCAACAACAAGCACCTGTCTCCATTCTAATGCTGAAGGGACTGGGAGTTCACTCTCAATATTTGCCTCTCCTCTTGTAAGAGTGTATTGGCAAGTACAGTAATTTCCTTGGCTTCCTAATGCCTCGCTTTCTCTCAAGCCTAGAGGAGATGAAAGCTAAACTTCACAAAACAGGGCAGTGAAGAGCAGGCAGAGAAGCAAAGTGAGCAGCAGTGAGTTGTTACATCCTGCAGAAAAAATAAAGTGACAAAAGTTAACTCATCCAGATCAGAAAAAAAATTTGAACTGTACTTAAATTGCCTCCAAATTTCTTGAAATCATTCCCTTTAAACCAGTCTTTTACAACTAGACAGAAGTCAGCATGGCCTTCACTCTTCTAAGGGTAAATGGAGGTGATCAGCATTTTTAAAAGAAAATAAAAATTCTGAACTGCAATAGAAAAGGCAGAAGGAATTGAAAAGCAGTATCACAAAGATAATTTACTGCCCTAGAATTAGAAGAAATGTTACCAGACAACATTTTGTTTCCTGAATCTATTAAAAACCTGCCTTGGTCATGAAGAAAATCTGTCTTAGATGACTGTGGTAATTTTAGAAAGCTGCTGACCAGCTGTGAGTGTACATCTGCTGAATAAGTTGGCAAGCTGCCCCTGTTTCCAGTCCTTGGTGCTGAATGATTTAATAAGATGTGGCTTTGAATGCAGCGTGATACAGTTGGATTTGTTTCATGCCAACTCCTGACACTGATTTTTTCTGCAGCTCTTTCAGAGCTTTTCCACCCCTGTTTTCCTGCAGGGATGGATGGCACTGGTCAGGGGAAATCACACTATTGTTGTTGCTATAACATCCCTTTTGTCTTGGGCAAGGGCTGGCTTGTGAAAGAGCTCTGCAGGCTGGAACCTCTGGCTGGAAGCAGAGTAGAACAGGGAACAGGATGGAAACATCCCATGTCACCAAGCAGCTCCTCAATAATCAAACACCTCACTGAGATTGCTGAATTCACCTGAGGTCAGCTGGGTCATTCACTCTAGCAATGCTGTGAGGGTCCTGACGAAGGAGGAATGATGAGGAGGAATCCATTGATATCAGAAAGCTAATTAATTACTTTATTATACTATATTATTCTGTACATCTAGAATTGAATCTGCCAAGCACTCCACCCTGCCCACCCTGCACTGAATCTCATGACTGACACCTGACAGGCCAAGGAAACAAAACCCCATCACTTTGGGTGAACAATCTCCATATTGCATTTTACTTTGGCACAAACACAGGCACAGCAAATGATAAGAATTGTGTTTTCTTTCTCTAAGGGTCAAAGAATGTGAATCCCAGCAATATTCTTGGGAAGAATTGTGCCTTCCTTTTCTCTGTGAAGAGAAATGTGGGGCTACAATTTACTGCAGGAAGACTGCTCCCAAAATGTCCCTTTCCAGCTGAGACTCCTCCTGATGTCCCATCCATGATCCATGCTCACTCATGTTGGTTTGCAGCCACCTGAGTGCCCTCTCAGAAGCTGTGCACCATCTCAGTGCTTCCCTGCAGCCCTGCCCGTGGGTGGCTGTGGCCACCCACAGTGGGGAGTGACAATCTCTCCCTGTGTGCTGATAATGTCACTTCTCACCTGCCCAAAATCCTGTTTGCCGTTAGGTGGCCGTGCCACACCCAGAGCTCCCAGCTGCCTGGAGATCTGCTGGTCTGCTCAAACCTTTCTCTTCCTTTGTCCTTCTGAGCATTGGAGTTTGCAGCAGAAATCCCTGCTTGCTGCAAGAATTTCCTCTGTTAAACTTTATCTGCTGGTCTGTTCAAGCCTTTCTATTCCTTTGTCCTTCTGAGCATTGGAGTTTGCAGCAGAAATCCCTGCTTGCTGCAAGAATTTCTCTCTGTTAAACTCCATCCTGTCTCTGACTTGTTCTCTGTACTGGGGCACTGTCAAGCTTTGTGCTGTCAGCAAACTTCCTCACCATGGTCTTCTTTGGGTCATCGAAGCTCAAACCCTGTCTGACAGAAGCATACGAAAAAGAACTGGATTAATTAATTGATTAATTAATTGTTCTTGCTGGTTCATAGAATTCCAAAATGACTGAGGTTGGAAAATCCCTGCCAGCCCATGGAGTCCCAGCTGTGCCCAGTGCCCACCTTGTGCCCAGCCCAGAGCACTGAGTGCCACCTCCAGCCCCTCTGTCACCAACATCATTTATGAAAAATCCTTTATTTAGGATTTTTCCTCCTGAGAAGCTGAGAAGCCTCAGGAACAAAATGTAAACATTGATTATCTGCTGCTGTGGAATGCAACAGGTGCATCTGGGATTGGTCTCATGTGATTGTTTGTAATTAATGGCCAGTCACAGTGAGCTGACTCTGACTCTCTGTCCGAGACAGAAGCTTTTGTTATCATTCTTTCTTTTTCTAGTCTTAGCCAGCCTTCTGATGAAACCTTTTCTTCTATTGTTTTAGTATAGTTTTAATGTAATATATACCATAAAATAATAAATCAAGCCTTCTGAACCATGGAGTCAGATCCTCATCTCTTCCCTCATCCTAAGACCCCTATAAACACTGTCACACCTTTCCTGGGACACCTGCAGGGCTGGGCACTGCAAAGCTCCCTGGGCAGCCCCTGCCAAGGCCTGAGCACCCTTTGCATGCAGAAATTGCTGCTGCTGTCCCAGCTGAGCCTCCCCTGGCCCAGCCTGAGGCCCTTTCCCCTTGTCCTGTACAGTTCTTACATGATTGACTATCCCGAATAGCCCTTTGCCTTTAGCATGCTTGAATCTTTGAGCTTTCTTTGTGCCTGTATTTTGGTGAAAATACAACCAAGAAATTTACCTTTTCATATATAAAGCAAAGATCCACACAGTTTCTGTACTGTCTTCCTCTTACTTATGTGGAAAAGGAAACTCTTATTTAAATTTACTTTTACCCTTGAAAAACCCAGTTTGGCTGGGGTTTGAGGCTTTCTGAATTTATCTCTGGGTTTTTGAATCTCCAGGCTGTTCCACAGCCTGACATGGGGTCATGCTGCTCCAAAACTGGCAGGGCCTGCCCTGTTCCAGAAAGGCAACCACATAATTATGGGGTGGCCAGGCTGCCAATGTTGCCCACACAGGGTGAAGCCACACTGCAAGACCAGAAACTCTGCTTGCAAAGAGGTCAAACCACTCAGGATGCCCAGAGGTTTCTGTGTTTTCTGGGAGAACAGGCTGTGTCACACACATTTAAATGGGGCTGTGCCTGAGGGGAGAGCATGTGGAGCACTCTCTGTCCATCATGGGTGAGATCTGAATTCAGCCCCTTCTGCAGAAAGCAGTAATTATTTGTATCATTCCTTTCCCAGTTCTCTCACTGCTAACCAAAATGTGGCATCAGATATGGAAAATCCCATTGTTTTAATCGTGAGAATAAACTGTCCCTACTCACACACACACACACAGGGCAAAGGACTGCCCAGAAGAGCAGAAAGTGTTTGTGGAGAGCCCACACCCCAAAAGGAGTAGCAGGAACCTGATGTAGACTCAGCTGGGGACACAGGAAAATTTGGGTTCTCTCTCCTTTCACTGCTAAAAAAATGAATGGCAATTACAGGCCAGCAAAGCAGTGAGGAGCAGAAGGGTTTATAAGAAAAAAGATGTTTTCAGAAAAGGTTGGTCCATTACCTTTCTCAGTTGCATTTTGAATAGAGCTTGGCTTGGAAATGGATGATTTTCTCTACAGAAAATCCATAGATGAAGCAGAAACAAGGAATTTATTCAGGACAGGGCTATTTGATTGCACTGCATGAGAACAACAAAAATGCTGCTGTGGAAATGTGAGTCAGGAACTTACCACCCTCAGCAGCACCAGAACTGAAGATGGAAAGAAAAAAAAAAAAACAATAAAGGAAAACATAATGTTGCATTTGGAACATTTGTAAATGGTTTTGTCCTCTAACTTAGATGTAAAGAAGACACAAAGAACCAAAAAAAGAACATCACAACACTTGTGGAGGGTGAAAATGGCAATGTGGCTGCTGTGCAAATGCTTTGTCCAGAGTTTTGGGATATGAGCTGGAGGTGTTGTGACTCCTCATGGAGTGATATCTTCTTGATGAGATTTTCCCTGTCCTAATAGAAAATATCCTGTGAAACCATTCAAAATACATTGATGGGATACAATAGGCTGTGATGTGAGAGGAGCAAGGAAGGGATCCCATGTGGGGTAACTGTCTGCCCTTGACAACTCAGAACACAGAAATCCCTTTGTGGAACGGAAACTGGGATCACAAACCAGTTTTTATTTCATTACCTTTGAACTTCACATTTACAGTGAAGTTTATAATCATGACAGTTTCTGTCTCTGACAGAAAACTCCCTGAGTTCTCTTCTTCTCCCTCACAGCAGCTCACAGGCACACTACAATATGAAAAAATATAGTTAATATGCAAAATCCTTTTCCTACTAAAACCAACTACAGATTCACTGTAGTGAATAATTATGCAGAAGATGGAATGGGTATTTTTCTCAGTATTTATAAAATACTCTCAATAGGTTTCAAAGCAACACAGCCTGTAGTCTCATGCTGGTTTTGTTATAAAGGATGATGTGCTAGAAGTGATTTGTGGGAGAAATGTCTAATATAAACTGAATGAGGAAAGGGGCCAAATGGCCCTGCACAGAGTCACTGGGAGACAGCTGAGTCACACTGCCCTGCTCTAACAACTTTCCCCACTTTTTTATTCCCATTTTTCTTTTCCCTTTCTCTTTCACCATTACAGGCTTTCCCTACCCTGTTTGAGCCTTAGCACACTCTTGCATTAACACTTTCTTTTGCATGTTGAGGAGGTGGGAGACAGGTGAGGTACACACTTTCCAACAGAATTCGGAAAGAAAAATCATAAAAAGTTTATTTATTCAGTGAAAAGTCTCAGCTGTACAATAGCCTGAATATGCAGGCAGGGAGGGAAGTCTGAACAAAACCCAGGTTTGCCCAGGATGTGCTGTGGGCCAAAAGCTCAGATGACTCTGTTTCCTTAGCTACAAGCTGGTATCTATTCAGCAGTGAGGCTTTAGCTGATAATGGCTGTAATCAGCATGGGGATGTTTTGCTTATGCTTTTGCCCAAACTGTTTTATAACCTGATGTGTCACCACCGTGCTGCTCAGGCTTTTCCACAGGATGCCTCTTTTTATTCTTTGCTTTTCTAAGCCTCTCTAAGCTTTTCTGGATGGGTCATTACAATGCCATCATTCCATGCTGCCAGCAGTGCCAGGGGGCTGTGAGTGAGTGGCTGCAGGGAGGGGCAGAGCAGGGCCCAGCAATGGCACCAGAGCCACGGGCAGGGCCTGAGCCCAGCAATTGCCCTGCACAGGAGGCACAGCTTCTGCCCTGGGCAGTGCCCAGCCCTGAGCACATTGCCCACACAGCCTGGGGGCTCTCCTCCCTGGGGCTGGGGCACAGCTGGCTGCACACAATGCTGTGCCCTGGGCTCTGGGATGGCCCTGCTGGAGCAGTAATTCAATTCCTGCACACCAGGTGCCCTCTGAGCTCCTGCAGCCTCACACACCCTGGGATTTTGTGTTTATAACCAGTACTGGTGGCTCTCTGGACACAGCTCTTGAAGCATCCCTGGCTGCAGACTTTGTGCTCCCACTTGTTTTTACACAGCTGCTTATTCCTACCTGCTCTTGCTGGGAACTAAAAGAGTTAAAAGGAGTTGGACTCCTCTGAAAGTGTCTTTATCATGCCATAATTCCCTGACAGGATGGTGCAGCCTGGGGAGCATCAGTCTGGTCCCAAGACAAGGGGAAATGGCCTTAAGTTGTGTCAAGGGAGGCTCAGCTGGGACAGCAGCAGCAATTTCTGCATGCAAAGGGTGCTCAGGCCTTGGCAGGGGCTGCCCAGGGAGCTTTGCAGTGCCCAGCCCTGCAGGTGTCCCAGGAAGGGCTGCAGGTGGCACTCAGTGCTCTGGGCTGGGCACAAGGTGGGCACTGGGCACAGCTGGGACTCCACTTTTCTCACCTCAATGACCCTGGAATTCTGTGCTTTGGTGATCTATGTGTGTCCCTTCCAACTCAAGAGATTCTATGATCCTTTGGAAACTCCACATGCCTCACACTGCCACCCCCTGCAGCAGCCACCTCCCATCCCCTCACAGCATCACTACCTTACCTTGAGTGCCATCCAGCTGGTTTTTAGCAAAAAAAAAAGAGCCAAAACCACCTGTGAAAGATCCTTCTTGGCCTTGGTTGCTCATGTTGGAGGATAAAGTGAATTCTGAGGGGAGCTGCAGTCCCTGGCAGTGTTCCTGGTTTGGGATGAATTTCTCCCATGAAGATGCAATAAAGATTGTACTAACTTTTAAAAAATCTATCTATACCAGAGCTTCTCTAATGATGGAGATATTCACACCATAGCTGAAGTTTTCACAGAGCTCTGAGAAACAGTGATAGCTTTACTTCCACATTCTCACTTGCCCCATTCCCAGCACAGCCTAGGCCCAGAGTTTTGACTGAAGTGGTCTTAATATTTCGCAAATTGAAATGCTAATTAGACTAATTTTATGAATAAAACATGGTAGGGATTTGTTAGCAAGTTTCTGCTGTTGCTTTATGTCAAGAGGTAGATTCTCTAAAACAGGACTCCAAAGGACAGCAGCACATTGTTACCAGCTGAACAAAGTGCATTTCTGGTAATAGTAAACCTTAGAGTTGGTAATACATTGCACAACTGTAGAGAAGAAAGAGCAGCAATTTTAAATTTTTCAGAACTAGCACATCTTGGACACTGACCACCAAGAGGAAGGTTGGGCTGTCCTGAGCCCATCTGCTTCACAGAGTTTGCTCTGATTTTTACATACAGAGAAAGACAACATACCTTGTCTCTGTTTCCTTACTGCAGTCCATCCAGTTGTCCTACCTGTACAGAAGAATTAAACCATTCCCTTCGTGTCTGACTGTGTATCGACTTTTTTTGTTTTTACTGAGCTCCGTGAAGCCAGCGAGGCCCCACAGAGGCAGAGCAGATACCAAAGTAGGTCGGACGGCCCATGGCTCCCCTCAGGGCTCCGGGCTGGGGCGGACGAAGCCGTGAGGGGACGCGTGAAGCCGACAGGGGTCGGCTGAAGCTGGGATG